TGGCCAGCCATACCCAAGCCCGCAGTGTGGAACACCCGAGCCTCGAACTCGCGACCTGTTGGGTTAGAAGTCCACGCCTCAATCCACCGGACCACGAGCTCGTTGCCCTGTCGGTTTTCGATCGGGAATATACGATGGTAGGGGGCGCTCACCGATCGTTCATACGGAACTCACTCGTTCCGTTGGGCCTTAAGAGCTCTCTCTCGAGCCCAACCAGTAGCCGCACAGCGGCGCATGATACATAGGCAGAATGGCATTGCCGACAAAGACAAGGGAGACTGGAATGGCCATTTCTGGGAAGGGCAACGGGTTCGTGGCCCGGTGGATAGAGGCGTGGACTTCTAAACCAACAGGTCGCGAGTTCGAGGCTCGGGTGTTCCGCACTTCGGGCTTGGATATGGCTGGCTGACGACGGCTAATAAGCCAGAAATGGCCATTCCAGTCTCCCTTGTCTTTGTCGGTAATGCCATTCGCCTATGTATCATGCGCCGCTGTGCGGCTGCTGGTTGGGCTCGAGAGAGAGCCCTTAAGGCACAACGGAACGAGTGAATTCCGTATGAACGATCGGTGAGCGCCCCCTACCATTATGTATATATATAGGCAGAATGACATTATATATATTTTTTGAAAAACAGGCATCCCAAGAAATATAATTAGAAAGGTGACGTTCTTTGGGAAACAGCAAAATTTTATTGTGAATTTTCGAGACTGGTTCCCCGGCTCGTCTTCAGACAACGGGTGTGCAAAAAAAATTAACTTTTAGACTGAGTCTAGCAAAAGGAGTCCATGATTGGTTAAGGTTTTCATCTCGGGATTGGCTGACTCAGTTTGAATCTGTCCTTAATGATTTTGTATGCGGCATCTAAATCGATATGCTGGTTGATGCATGCCTCATCTGAGTGCATTGCTTCCAGGAATGCGCGGCCTTTTCTTGATTGGCAGGCGCCAACAATGCGAGTGTTCTCCCATGCGAATTTATGCCCAGTGTCTAGTGTGTGCATGGCCACCTGGGATAGATGGTCGCGTCTCTTCACCGCTAACTGATGCTCCTGTATACGGGTTGAGACAGATTTCCCAATTTGGCCACAATAAACGGCATCACAACTAGAACACGGGATTTTGTAAACGACACCTTTTCTTTCAAGGTGCCCGACCCTGTCCTTAGGGTGCATAAGCTGTGTGCATAAGGTAGTTGCCGGCTGGTGTGCTACGTGTATCTGGTACTTTTTCAATTGTCTTTCGACAAGTTCAGATACATTTTTGACGTATGGGAGAGTTCGCCATGTGGTTTGTTTTGGTGCCTGAGTGATCGTAGCATTGGAAATACCTTTTCCCTTGGGTTGCTGGTGCCTCACGCATTGACGTATAAAGTCATGCGGGTACCCATTTTGGGAGAACAGTTTGTAGCGATATTTCATTTCTGCTCGATAACTTGTTTCGTCAGAGCAGTGGGTTTTGGCTCGATTCAGAAGGCTGTAGACTGTACTCTGTTTGTGAGAGACAGGGTGGTTAATCTCAAAGTGTAGGATGACCTCTGAATACGCCTCTTTGCGATAAACTGATGTCTGGAGTGATCCATCGGTTTTTCGGTGTACAAGGACATCCAGGAATGGGAGTTGTCCATCGACCTCTGTTTCCAAAGTAAATGTGATTCCTGGAAATATGGAGTTAATATTGGTATGGAGCAGATTCAACTGATCTTTCTTGACGATGACAAAAGTGTCATCTACGTATCGCAGCCAAAGTTTTGGATTGACTGCGGGAAGGGCTATGCTCTCTAATTTCTGCGATAATGCTTCTGCCAGGAAACCGGATATTGGTGAAGACGAGCTGGGGAACCAGTCTCGAAAATTCACAATAAAATTTTGCTGTTTCCCAAAGAACTTCACCTTTCTAAATATAATATGACAGTGGGCGCTCGCCGATCAGGTTACGGAACATGTTCGTTCCGTTGTGCCTTGGGGCTCATACTTAAGCCCTCGCAGGCAGTCGCACAGCGACTAGTAGTAGACATAGATGAGATGGTACCGACAAAGACAAGGGAGACCGGAATGGCCATTTCTGGCTTATTAGCCGTCATCAGCCAGTCATACCCAACACCAAGTGTGGATCACTTGAGATTCGAACCCAGGATCTTTGGTCATGGAGTTTGACGCTCTACTATTGAGCTGATGACGGCTAATAAGCCAGAAATGGCCATCCCGGTCTCCCTTGTCTTTGTCGGTACCATCTCATCTATGTCTACTACTAGTCGCTGTGCGACTGCCTGAGAGGGTTCTAGTATGAGCCTCAAGGCACAACGGAACGAGCATGTTCCGTAACCTAATCGGTGAGCGCCCACTATCATAATTAATATTCCCGATCACAATCGACAGGACAACGGGCCCGTGGCTCAATGTTAGAGCGTCAAACTCCATGACCAAAGATCCCGGGTTCGAATCTCAAGTGATTCACATTTGGAGTTGGGTATGACTGGCTGGTGACTGCTAATAAGCCAGAAATGGCCATTCCGGTCTCCCTTGTCTTTGTCGGTACCATCTCATCTATATATATATGAATAACTGATGTGGTGCGCATTCCAAAGATGATATAATGAAAAAGAGAAGGCTCTTCGTAAAATCGACCTGCACTTTTAAATTTTGTAAAGTCCATGACATCGACCCGTCGTCTGATAACGACCGACAGATGAACAAGGCTACGGTGAACCTTCTCTCCATCTGGCTTGCTAACTTCAGTCTGCTTTACACGACCCCATGCTTGAATCGCCTGACGAACATGTCCGGTAACCGGATCAATGAAGACACCACCGACGTAATTACTATTGCCGATCGTAACCGACAGACCAACCAGCCCGTGACTTTATGGTTACAGTTAAACTTACTAACACCTAGTAGCCAAAAAAACGCGGATGCGATCCTCAGGTTCCCACAAACCTGAATTTGGGCAAGTATGACTGATGACAGGTAATAAGGTAAAATTAACATCTCAGTCTTCTTCGTCCTTGTCAGCAATCTCCTGCCTATATTAATAGTCGTGTTACAACTGTTCGCGGGGCTCTAAATCAAGTCCCACAGCACAACGGGGACGGGCATGCCCTACAAGCCGATCAGTAAACGCACCTCCATCATACATATGGCTAGGTGCATACACCGTATTCGCAAGAATGGCCCTCACCAATCCGGTAACCGGCATGCTGGTTTTGTTATTTCTTGAAATTCAATCTAGTGCCATCGCAGGCAATCGTACAGCAACCAGTAGTACTGTCGTGTCGTGTCGGGTGGTTAGAGCGCTGACAGTACTCAGGCCTTGCCGTTGCCTTCGTGGGTTCGAATCTCATCTCTGCCTCTGGCAGCATTCCTTCTTGCACCGTTAGTAATGGCCATCCAAGTGCCTCCGAGGGCTCTAGATAAAGTGGCGAGGCACAACGGGGTGAGAATGACCTGTAATCTGGTCGGCTAACGTCCTTCCTACAATGGGTAATCTCCCCGACCGTAACCGACTGGAGAATAGGTCAGCGGTTCAATGACACAGATTTGGAATTAAAAAACACTCAGTCATCAAACAGTATGGGTTGAAATTCCAACTTATCCGGATCTGAGACGGGGTGTGTCTGGCTGACGACGACTAAAAGGTCAGAAGTAGCTATCTCGGTCTCTCTTGTCTGTGTTAATGAGTTTTGGTATCTATATAAGCGCATTTCCACCTCGCCTCAGAGAATCCTAACAAACTGACGCCATGCGCAGTCGTAAGCTATCCTTACGGCTAGTCTGTGTACCTTAGCTTTTGTCTGGATGTGCAAATATCAGTAGGTGGTTTTCTACGTTACAAAAACGACATTTCGGCTGAGGAAGTGAAGTAAAACGCCTCTAGCCCAGCATTCAGTTCCACATCGCCTGTGTACACTGTTTATTGAACATGAATTATCGTCCATCAACTATAGGTAAAAATAACAGCAAACGCTGCAAGTTATTAGGTTGAACAGTTGGCATGAAAACGGGTCGTTCGCTAAAACTCCAAATAGCCGTCCTCCCCGCCGAATTCGAGGAGTGATAATAATAATTTGGACAGTTCCTGGCAGCCCACATTACCCAGTGCATAATATTCACGTCCAAAATGACAAACAGTTCATTAACATTCACGCGTGATTGAAGACACTGCAGCAGCCGTTTCCGGCCTGCCTACAGTCGTTAATGATTGTGGCTCATGTCAGAAGCAATAAACTGCATTTTGGTATCGTCAATGGGGCGAGTTCCAGCATGAAATCCTGTCCATTATGCAAACAAAATTAATGCATTATATCTTAGCCTTTCAGGAGTAACCTAATGGTTGATAACTGTGCGATTTGTGTGTGTGCGATCGATACTACTTGGGGCGTAGTATCCAATTATAACTGACAATATTGCGTAAGAAATCAGAAATCACTACAAACTCCAGGATTTGATGTCCTTATTGGTAGATTTAGACCTATTTTGGAGTCCCATGAAAACAGAAATAAGGCATCTCTGAAGGAACTGCACGGCAGACTGTTTATGTATGTAGCTGTGCCCACATGGCACTTGAACACATCACCCTTCTCAAATTTAGCACTTTTATCCTAACCACCCTGTCTTTTTATTTTGTCGCGGTTAGTGAATCATTGCTTCGAATACGTTCCGCGCTTTTCATTAATTCACTGCTTTCTCAAGGCATTTTTCCTCGGCTGCATATAAACAGGCACCTCATTTCAAGGCCCACCATAACTGTTTCGAAATAAAATAATCGGGAGCAAACTCAAAACATCCATTCGCCGGTGTGCTTGAAAAAACACAATCTAGACGTATTTATTTGATAACATCCAGTCCGCCGACTGAAGCGGTCAGGAATTTGATTTTTGATTTCTGAGGATATAACAATCGGAGTAACCAAGTTTATCTGCACTAAGGGGATTCAGTAAAGTAAAAGGAAGTCCTTACGGTAGTCTTTACTTCAATATAGACGAATCTCGCTTACATGCGGAAAGCATGCCATTCATATTAGGCACTTTTTCTCCAAAGTTTGCGAAGGGCAACGGGTGTCTTTTCTCGGACCGGAACAAAGTTGTCGATTGTCTACGGAAACTGACGCCATTAGATCTTGTTAATGGCATTAGTCACATCACCGAGGCCCGAACAAGACGTCGCGAAAAACGACTGAACGCTATTCTTCCACCAACAGATGAACAAGGCTACGATGAACCTTCTCTTTACCTGGCAATCGAATTTGCTCCCACTGTTGACGGCGTTTTTCTACCCTCCTGTCCGGAAAAAGTCCTGAACGACCTACGCTCGGAAACCGGCCCGGAGCCGCAACTTCTGATTGGCACCAATGGTAAAGAGGGGATTTATTGGTTGTTATACGGACTCGGTTTGAAGGGAATCCAAATATTGGAAGACAACGGGCAGGTTAACTTGCCAACAATAAAAGAACTACAGAATGCGAACATTGATATCTACCGCTTATGGACTGCCAAGTTTACCAGCGAGGAATACTTGACTCATCCCTTTTCGGCAGCCCAAGTCACTCAGTATGGATACAATAGTCAACTGTTACAGAAAGTCTCGACATATACGTCACCTCTGCCTGTTTTTAAAGTAGAGAATTCAACTCAATTCATGGACCGCATGGATCAGATTTCTGGAGATATGGAATTTATTTGTGGAACCATAAAGTTCGCCCAACTGATAGCCCAGCTGCCGCGGGGAAAAGTGCAGTTTTACAATTTTTTGCATAAAACCAAAGACAATGGCTTCCCGGACTGGACAGGTGCCATGCACGGCTACGAAATAGAATACGTCTTCGGGATGCCCTTTTCAGACGACTTTCGAAAAAAATTTTATAACTTCACCAATGAGGAGATGCAATTGAGTCGCAGGATCATGCGGTACTGGGCAAACTTTGCAAAAACAGGGTAGGTATTCTGTACAGCTTAGAGCTCTTGTGTTATTTTATTTAGTATCTCATATCCATTGTAACTACTTAATCGAGTGTCTGTTTGGTGCTGAGAGTATCCTTTACCGTTTTACTCTATACAATTAATCTCTCTTCCGCTCCTGGATATCTTTGGGTTAGAACCCTGAAGACTAATGAGTGCAATGGTGTTTAAAAAAAATATGGTGTTTGCAAACACGTTAGGAGAACTAATATCTGCTTGTAATGTTTTTCTAACGATTTACTCAGAAAGCATTCAAAGCTAAATGTTGACTTGAACTTTTTTCAACATACTTTAAAGCGAATTGTGAATGCACGCACAAATGCCAAAGATTGAAGGTTGAATTGTCCGAAATCGTATTTCCATCTATCTCGTTTGTGTACTCGTTTGATCTTTTATCCAAACCTACCTTTTTTGCACAGTGCCTAATTAAGATCGATCGTATTGTCCAAATCCTTGAAAAATTCTTAGTCTGCTTGCAAGACAAGCCTTAAAACGGAGATATGAATACTATTCTGCAGAATTTCTAGGTGTTTGATCTTCCTTATCGTCATTCCTGAAGTTTTCGATCAAAACAACTCTCAGCTTTTAGTTTACTTGAAGATTGCCAAAAAATAAAAGATGTTCACAGCTTTAAACTAAGGACTCACTCTCTTTAATTCCAAACTAGAAAATGGTATTCATTTCCGTGGGTGTTAATTGTCCCCGATGGATCCCCTACATTTTGTCAATTTAATCTGAAATTCGTTGGTCTAGCCAAGCGCGATTTGAATTACGATAAGTGCTCAAGCCGTTAACAAAGTCCTACGTCCTCGGATTGATAACTTGCAGGAATAGACTGGACCTGGGTTACAATGTAGCATTTCGATTGCATCAGAACGTACGTTTATTAGCCCATGATCACTAAGATCTTATGCAGGTCATAGGAGCCTAACTACAACACTAAAGCCAGTCAATGTTGATATAGATATTTTTTGAATTTTCGGAAAGATCTAGTAAACGTAGGAGCAAAGGTGTTCATCTAGATGAAGGACCTGCTTATTTTGGACTGTTTAAAAAGAGAACGCGATTCTCTCTGCACGCCTGTCCTGCGGCAGGTAGAGCGTGGATAAGCCAATAAACTTAATTACCTTTTCGGACCCATTAACTTATATCCGTATAGTAATGGAGTCGCGGTTTTTTCACAGCATAACATCCGCTGACAAGTAGCATATAAAACGTAAATTGTTTTAGGCCGGGAATTTTGTACAACAAGCTGACTAACGATCATACCGTGCTGTCAAAGGTTCATTCTTCTCTAAAACTGAATGATTAATTGTCAAAAGGCATAAAAAGGAGCAAATTAAAACATCCATTCGCCAGTTGGCTTGAGAAAACACAATCTAGCCATTTTTATTTGATAACAGGTGTCTCTAAGACCGAACGTCGCCATGAAATAAATTGTCATCAGAAGGCGATGGAGAGGCGATACTATGCATGCACTCACATGGGACTTGAATTGACCCTGACTTGCTCACACTGTCGGTTTTATTAGCGAGCTTCTTGGTTTTGCCTCCGAAAAGAACTCCAACCCTGATCATGTAGGCACCTCAGTTACCTATGTCGTCATCAGACGAAGATGATGCATTGAACGTCACCTTGAAATTTATAAGCACACAACAAAGCTTCATATAAAAGCGTAGTATACACAAGTTTCCGTTACATACTCTACAGGTGAATGAGTCCAGTTTTCCTTATTTAAGAACGATCAGACAAATTTCGCGTATCCATGCTGATTGAGGCACTAATTCAGAAGCGTCTCAGTTTTCTTCACATTCTTGACACTTTCTGTTCGATATCACTCAGGTGTGGATTAATGTTATTTAATGTCAATTAATTGCATTTGTGTCCAAGCAGATGTTTCACGACCGACCTTGCCGTCGAGGAGCAGGCTGTCTTTCTGACTAACCTCGTCAGATTTACCTAAATGTCTGTATCAAAAAGTTTCGTCGATACCCAGGGTTTAGGTGTCCATGAACATCACATTTCCTGTATTGGCGAGGAATGTTTTTTTACACTTTCCTTCCCAACTCACACCGTAACAATCCCTTGAGACGGCTTTTCTTCCACCTCACTAATGTCTCCATCCTTCCAGGTTTCATGGCAGCGGACATAAATTATTAATAGAGCACGAAGGGTGAGTTCTCTCTCACATGTTCATTTTCTGCTAAGCCTGCGTTGCTTCCTTTCAGTGATGCAAATCGGGCCAGCGATGGCAAACAATCTCAGCCCCATTGGCCCTTTTATGACATAGAAAAGCGACAATACCTAGAACTTGACACAGAAATTGTTGCAAAGAGTGGCCTACGAGACATTCAGTGCAATTTTTGGAATACTATCCTTCCAACGCTCACCAGGACTTACTTGGTATCAAATTTAAGGCAGTCGCTTGACGACATTTGTCCGAACATGGAGCCCTATCTATTTGAGAAAGAAGCCCTGGAAACGTTTGTGCCTGGCGGTGAGTTGGTTCTTCTTCCACTTCTCCTTGACTTAAGAAATGCCGAAACTCTGGTCCTGATGAGTTTAAGCTAATAACGCGGATTGCTCACGAGTAGGTAAACATAGGCTTACCGACCAGAGAATTTTAGTATGCAAGGATCGCGGGAGGTTTTCTCGAATTACTAACTATTCCTTATAGTGAATCTGCTCATCTGGGAGTTGGTCGAGAGTAACTTCACTCAGCTCACTTTGATGCAGTAGATCCTAATCGATCTGCAGCTTTTTCATCGGGCAGGTCCATGCAACACCCCTATATCTAGCCCACCTCCGGATGCCATCTAGGAACTTGCAGACGGCGATAGTTTCAAGCTTGACAACAGTTAACCTAGGGGCTTTGTGGTCGTGCTTCAGTCCAACTTAACGTACGGCTGATAGGCTGTATGCGGGCCTTCAGCAAATGGATAGTGCAGTAAAACGGTATATGTACTACTATGGGCAGATTTTGAATGATCTTCAATGTTCGTTCATTTTCAGCCCTCTGCGTTCCTATTTAAATGATTCTCTTCGTTAAGGATGAAACTGTTCTACTTTGTAACCAGGGCTCTTTACTTTCGTTTCAAAGATCTTTACTGGATGTCAGCACTGGTTTCTCTGAATCACTGAGAAAATATCCGATTGAATCATTCGAATAAGGTGTATAGACTGTTGTAGCATTAGAAATCAAAGATGAAATTGGCTTAATTTGACTTTTGGGTGGGTACTCAGAAATCTTTATACCACCTTTTTTATCATAAAGTTTCTCTTATCCTTTTATTTTTGCTTTTAGAAGCCAATGGGAACAGCTCTCCGACACCGTTTGGCAAACTCTTACTCGTTTTACTCGCAGTTTGTACCATAAGCAGATGGGAAGTGCAGTTAGTATAATATAATAACGCAGTTGCCTCGGTAGAATCATGGCCCACTGAAGTTCTGAGGACTTAAATGTTGTACTCATTCATTACTCCTTCTCTCGAATGTTATCTGTACATTCCTGATTTAGAACAAACTAGGTGTTACAAACTTATTGATGTAAGATTCTCCTTTCCTCGAAATGTCCTCTGTTATCCAACTTGCATAATTAAATATGTATTAATAAGACCTCCACCTTTTCGATATTCTATGAGCTAGACAAATATCGGATTTCTTGACTTGTAGAAGCCTGCTGAAGAGGCACATCTATTGCGTTCCATCCTCCGATTAGTTATGACGCCAACAGTCGAAATCAAAACGCGTCTGGTGTTCGAACACAGACTCACCAGCGGTTCCTGGGAATTTTTAATCCGCATTTTGTCTCAGGATGAATTTTCGGAGGAATTATGAGTGCTGCCAAAATTCCCATAGCAGTAATCAGAAGACGAGGTGGCGAGCATACGCAGCTTTCGATAAATTCTCCTCGGGCCAGTACAGTTATATGGGAACGGGTTAGAAGTAAAGCATGTGAACGATAAGAGGAATTGATAAAGGTCCCCCTTAAAACACAGGCGGGATGTGGGAATGGGGGAGAGAGGGTGGGGGTAATATCAGTCATTGTCAGGGGCGGGATGAGAGCGGAAGGGTGCGGAGAGTTGCGGCGTTAATCGACCTTCGACCACCGTAGGCGCGGAGCATGCACGTGGTTCTTCTGTGCGCATAAGATTGGCTTTTGTAACCTCATGGCAGCCGCTTCTGCTGTCGCTAACAGGCGCTGGCCTAGTGGCTTGGGGTAGCTCGATGAGACTTTATAAATCACACGAAAAGCTTTGTTGGGGTCCACACGATGTCCGGAATCGACAACATGCGCGAGAATGGCGCTGCTTATGCTCCTCGTTTCGCTTTTTCCCAGCCCTGCAGGGAGGTGTTTCCGTATTCTCTGGAATAAGCGCCGACTCGTACGACTCGTACGCCGTCCACTTGTCCATAGAGTTAGTTGTCGAACAGGAACTGCATATTTAATGTGCATCTTAGTAATAGTTCCTTGAGTGTCTTCGTCCGGATTCGTATTTCCTGCTGACTGGCAGATAGAAAATCATAGATGTAATCAACTGTCTTGGTGACCGGAACGTTTGTAAAAAGTGATGAGACGTCTAGCAAGAAAGTCACCATGCCGTTGACATTAAGGTCTTTGATGTCGTCAATAAATTCAAAGGTATCTCGGTAGCTGCGTGGTGCCAGCTGACGCTGCACGGGCTTGAGTTTCTCTGCTAGCCACTTTGCTATCGCATGATACGGAGAATTTCGCATGTCTAAAATCGGACGGACTGGCAGGCCCTCCTTATGGATCATAGATAGACCATATAGTCGAGGGATATGTGTGACGACTGGTAGGAGGTGTTGGAGGTCACGGTTGCTTATGGGACCCCGGTGTGGAGCCTTCTTAGCCAGTCAGTCAGTTTCGTCTCTACTTCTTCCGTGCAATCCTCTTCTTTGTCTCTCTTCCTGAATTTCTTCTGGTCTGATAATATGGACTGTATCTTCGCCGCGTAGTCCGATCTGTGGATCATTTTTAGCTCACAGACCTTGTGCATATGTCCATGCTCATTTGACAGATCCATTAAATCGTATCTCTTCGTCCTTGTGGAGCGCGCGACAGGCGAATTGTGGTGCGAATAGTACGCACTGCAAGACTGGCAAGTATTGGTGCCCCCCTGCGTTCCTTACGAAACTAATGACAGCCTCAAGCGGACTACCATATAGCACTGGAATAAAAGCTAAAAACACTTCCAGAGTTGGCCATCCAAACCATGAAGCAAAAAGGTACGCACGCTTTAACGTATGACTCATCCAGGCATCCAAGCTTGTTCTTCGTTTGTTCGAGCTTTGAACATTTGGCAATATAACAGCATGCCATAACAATGTACAGCGACATGATCCCAAAATTCCACTATTGGGTTACCAAGTGCAAGATATTCTTTGAGTAACTTAAAAAATATACCTTCAAAAGTCAAGTCATTCTAACCCACAATGCCGGTATTATTGTGAGACAAGTTAATCAGTTGAATGCTTCCCTACTGCAAGATCTTAACCTACACGGTGTTAATTGCGTTTTTTGTCTTCTGGTAGCCACTCGGCATAAAAAGATGTCAGAAATATTTCTGAAAAGGGGTGCTGACCTGAGGTGGCCCCTTTCCCCTTATTTTTCTTCACCACCGAACCCCACGCCGACACGAGGAAATAATTCTCCGCGTTTGAGGCAGGGACTAAGCTGGGCCTTTAATCAACTACTCTGAGGGTTGAATTAGGAATACAAGTCCTTTCGACAGCCGAAGCACGTTTTCACAGGCAAGCGAGAGTAGTGTTCAGTGGCCCATCTTGATTACAGGACGGAATACGAGGGATGTCGTTTTGTTTTGGAAATTTGGCTCCTGGATTCTCGCAGGTCAGTACGTAGCAATGAATAAGCAGCAAGAAACAGGTGGTACAGACGCGCAAGGGATACTGGAATCTCATTATTGGTTCACTTTCTGCTGTTACTTGTTCATATCTAAAACTTATGAAGGACAGTAAGTTAGCATTTGCCATTCCAGCCTCTTTATCTTTGTAGGTACCACCTCTTGTTAGTCAAAGCATAACGGATATCCCATTTTGTCCTGGCTTCAGGGCATATTGGCTAAGTTACTGCCCTATAAAAATGGAGACAATTTATGCCAGCTTTGATTTTCCTGTGAGTTATAACCTCGTCTGTTGGGTGATCTACTAAACAGTCACGTCAGATCATTAGATAGTAACTGTTATATGAAATAAGCTAGGCAAAGTTGAGAAGGCTTTGACTAGTAGTTCAGTGAGTGGGGTGCATATCAAGTCTCTTCTCAGATTTAGACCTCAGATACGCAATTCGATAGAGACCAAACTGTAGTCAGCTGTACGAAAAATTCTATGCAGGTAAATACTCAACCAGCGTACTGAACCCTGCTCAACAGATATCTAGGACAAGGGGTCAGTGGGAAGATAGCAATCATGAAACAGACAAGCAAAAAAGAAGGTCTCTACAAAATAGACAAAAGCATACCGGATAAAGCAGAGGTACCAACGCGGCAACGTTGTTACAAGAAGTCAGAACGGCAAACGATCGATCAATGCAGAAAAACCAGTATATCGAAAGCACTCCTTTTACAGTGTGTGCTTTCTAGGAAGTTTTTTCAGTTTTTAAACAAACAACTGACACACACAACATTAGACGAATGCGATCACAGTAGGTGGGCAAGTACTCCTCCAGTCCTAAGCTTAGGCCAACTCCCCGGAGGAATCAAGTCGTTTTTCAAGTACGGAATAAATAACGACTACACCAATATCCTCGAATAGTCTGCTTCGTTGATTTACCGCTGGTCGAGTGGATGATTTCTGTATGGCTGTGGATTTCACTCGACGTTTACGAAAATCAAGTGGATGTCTTCGGTGGCTGTCGGTATGGCTGAGCTGAGGAAGGAAATTACAAGCAATCATTGTATTTTGGTAAGATCAGCACCGAGACATCTCCGCTGGGGATGGGGAGGGGGGAACGGTTAGACGGGGTCTTTGAGGATATTCGGCAGCTGGCAGATGACGCAGCTACATGACGAGCGGTAGTTCTCGGTACTGAATTTTTTCAAGTGACCGCATGTCAGAGGCGGAATAAGAAGACTAGACTGGAGAACGGTAATTGATAAGAGGTCAAGTAAAGGTGGCATAGTGAACGTGGAACTTATGTCCCGAAGGTGATTGCCATTATCTTCAAATTAGGAATAGCTACTATATGTGCCTTTTTGGCAACACAAACATTCTTGGCTTGAGTGGGTAGTATTATCACGTCTAAAAACGCAGACTAAATTAGTTTATTCTCTCGACTTACGTAGTTCAATCTCAGAGGGTCTAAATTATTGAGCAGGAGGTGCTATTTCAGAGAAATCACAGGAGAATCTGCCTACTGAGTCCATCGAATAACTCTGATGGAGTGACCCCACAGGGTCATGCAAGTAGCTTCCCAGCCTAATATCTTATTTTCACCGGACAACGTGGAAACTCCCTCCTTAATCGACTTCGATAAGTAGTCTACATAGAGTAAAATATCAACGGTTGTGGCACAGAGCTGTGCAGTACGCCAATGTATATTTGTATTTCACAAGACGCGGAAGTCTGAACAACGCAACTGAACCGTCCACGTAGCTGGTTACAACTTAACCAGTACAGCAACTTTTTTCGAACAAATAATGGACCTGAAACTAATATCCGGACAAACGATGTACATTCTCATCGAAGACCTGCCCAGCATATCCGCTGAAGTCCGTAAATTGGTATGGATAGATGGTCTTTAGACAAATCCACACTGATTCCGTTTAAAGATGTATCGCTTCCATAAGATACGCAGAATTCACTACAGAGGATTATTTTGCTCTTTGAACACGCAACACTAGTGAGACTAACTGGGCCATAACCTGTCACAGACCGTCTCCACATTTGCCGAGGCATGGGAAGATGAAGGCATGAAGCTATAATTACCTTGAGTATTTACTGAGACGGCCTGGAAAAGCCTTCCTCGTCGCCGATCCGACCTTGCCACATGAGCGTACAGACCACATCTCAAATTTTACTATGACTGAGGAAATTTCCAGATGCCCTGCACTGACAATAAATATGTCAACCCTCATTAAACTTGAAAACATGGCGCCTAATTCTGAGGGACTGTCCATGGAAAACGCCCGTTTTTAGCAATAATTGCTTTTGAGGACACGCTAGCATTATGTGGATGATACCTGCGTCATCATCGAATGGGATCAAGTGCTGACATTCAAAGAATATCGCAAAGCCGACTTCCCGGACATTCAATTTACGACGGAGGAAAAAGAAAACAACCAGCTGGCCTTCCTGGATGTCCTCGTCCATCGCAAAGATTGTGATGGTCTAAAAACCAAAGTGTTCAGGAAAGCTACAAA